TTTAGAGCCTGTCCTAGAACTAGCTCTTGTAGACCAGGCTGGCCTCAAACTCACAGAGATCCTCCTGCCACTGCCTCCCGAGTGCTGGGATTAAAGGTGTGCACCACCACCGCCGGCTCCTGGCCTTACTTTTCAGTCTGTAATTTAGACACCCTGCCTCTTACTGTGTTTCTTAAGGATCCTATTTTTCCTTCTCTGCTTCTCTTAGTCTTGCTTTTGTCATTTCCTCCTCAGAGCCAATTAATGGAACCACAGGGTTTGACTTCTGAACACTGGAGGCAATTCTGACAGCTCCTGTGGTGGTTTGAATGGGTGTGGCCCTCATGGACTCGTGGGTTTGAATGCTTGACCCGTAGGGAGTGCCACTACTAAAAGGTGTGGCCTTCTTGGAGAAAGTACGTCACTGTGAAAGCAGGCTTTGAAATCTCATCTATGCTCAAGTCACACCCAGTGCGGCACAGTCTCCTTCTGTTGCCTGCAGATCAATATGTAGAACTCTCAGCTCCTTCTCCAGCACCACGTCTGCCTGTGTGCTGCCATGTTGCACCATGGTGATAATGGACTAAACCTCTGAAACTGTAAGCCAGCCTGGTTAAATGGTCTCCCTTATAAGAGCTGCTGTGGTCACGGTGTCTCTTCACAGCACGAAGACAGTTCTTCAGGTCTAACATAGTTCTTCTCCCTGCAGTTGACTAGAAACGTAGAGTAGTATTTTCTGCATCCTAGAACCATCCTCAGGCAAGTTATTGCAAGGCTATTTTATGGTTGCAGGCTGTGTGGTTCCTGTTGTAGATGCTCAGTTCTGCTAAGACAGGGTGGAAGCAGATGTAGACAACAAGTAAACAAACGAGGGTAGCCATGCTCCAGTAAACTGTTACTTAGAAATAAATAAATCCCAGGAGGTTGAGGGGAGCAGGTTGCTTTCCTCTCTGCTACCTGTAACTCTTGATAGACATATGAAGACACAGAGATCATTGCTATGACCTGGAAACAACCATTAATCCTTGATAGGGAATGAACTGGTTGCCATATTTAATATAGTGTTGTCCTAGAAATTGATATGTAAATTGGCATTCTTGTTTTTCCAGAAAGCATAAGTATTTGTGAATTTTCTTTCAGTCTTAGCCCTCATGTATGAAGATAAAATGTTGGTACAACAGGTCGCGTTGTCTAGAAGCAGAACTCTGGGAGAGATGGTTTACTAGGGATAAATGTTTGGAAAGGCAAGAGAAGGGAGATGGCTGGGCAGAGGAAGCTCCAAGAGGCTTTATCTGACCCGGCACAGATTCTGGGAGAATAATATCCCAAATGGATTAACTTTATACCTCCCTTTAAACATTGCCCCAAATGTCCAGAACCCCAGAGGGAGGGAGTTTTTAGGCAGAACCATCTCAGGAAATAAACAAACAAGCAAACAAAAGAAAAAAAAAAGATGCTTATCTATCGCTAGGCAGCAAGTCTTTTCTGGGTGGAGGCTTGGACAGTTAAGCTTCACAGATTCTTAGGACACAAAAAGTCCGGGCTGGGAAGTTGGCTCAGTGGGTAAGAGCTCATGATGTTCTTATAAAGGACCAAGGTTCAATTCCCAGCACCCACATGAAGACTCCCCGCCTCCTCACACACCAGGCAAAAAAGAAAGAAAACAAGAAGTCCAAATGCATCTCCAATAAGTTAACATCATTGATAGAGCTCCTGATGAGGAGCTATAGAGTGTTTAATGACTTGCCTTTGTTACCTTTTATATTTAGAAATACATCTTTTATGAAAGGGGAAATCCGGTGAGATATAGGCAGAATTAATGAGAAATCAAGGGCTTTTCTTTTTTCCCCACCCTCTAATTTCTCCACCTTTTTCCATGCTCCAGTTCAAAGGCTGCAAACACACGTGGCCATCCTCAGGTTTTACGTGGTTGATAGTGATTTGAACTCGGATCCTCTTGCTTTCACAGCAAGCGCTCTCAACGTCTCCCTAAACCCTCATCAAAACACAATTTTAAAATAACATCCATCTTTAGAACTTCTGAGTCAGAGATTGCAAAGTGCTCCACCCTGCGTGGGCCATAGGCATCACCCTACCCAAAGGCTCGGGGTGCTTCAAAGACAACGGAGTGGAAACGACTGTAGGCGCCCGATCGATCGCAGAGATCGTCGAGGAAATAATGTTTTCCGGGCACAACGGGGCAGTTGTACCCTTGGACTCACAGTGACAGTACACACAGGACCCAGAAAAACTCAAGCCAGACAAAATCCCAGGGTGAGAGAAACGTTAGCTATTTCTTGTTGCAATAAGACACCAGGCCAAGGCAGCTTAGAGAAGGAAGAGTTTATATGGAACTTAGCATTGTAGAGGATTAGAGCCCATCGCGGTGGGGAGCATGGCAGCAGGCAGGCATGGTACTGGAACAGTAGTTGAGAGCTCACATCTTGAGAGACAGAGCACTAACTGGCAATGGTGTGGGCTTTTGAAACCTCAAAGCCTGCCCCCAGAGACGCAGCTCCTCCAAGACCATGCCTCCAGTCCTTCCCAAACAGTCCCAACAACTGGGGACCAGGCATTAAAATCTATGACCCTATAGTGACCTTTCACACAAATCACCATAGGGCAAGGTGGCTATGAACCCCACCCTAGCTGAGAATCTACTGGCATTTGATAGCTGATGGGGGAGCATAAGTCAGGTTTCTTTAATGATGTGACCCTGTACACACCAGGGTAGATGCCCTTCGCAGGACTAGTTGGACTTGAAGGGAAAAAAAAAGAAAAGAAAACTCAAAGCTGAGTAAGAAGGTGTGGGAGGACAGAGAGAGAGGCTGTGGGAGGTGTTCAGAGGAGAGAGGAGAATATGTTCAAAATGCATTGTATGAAATTCTCAGAAAATTAATAGAATGTTTTTTTAAAAAGAATCTCTGAAAATCATTGTAAAAGAATCAGCTCTTGCCTGGCCCAGACATTCCTAGCATTAGAAATGCTAATGCATTAGAAAAGAGATAGTTTATAAGCCCCAAAATATGTTTAAAATTTTTGTACTGTTTTGGTTTTGATCATGGCTTTCTATAAATATTAATTAAATACATATATTGCAGTTAAAGGAACTCTTTCATAGATAGGATAGACCATATCTCAGGCCTCAGCCCATGCTGCCGTAATCGTTCTCATAAGGTAGCAATGCTTAGTACTCGATAAGCTCTACTTCATGGTATATTAGTGCCACGGACCGTCCCTCTCGGAGACCGCTATCCACGGGAGAACAGGGTGAAGGATAGGATAGCCAGGATACGACGCAAGGGAATGACAGACAGACACACTGTGTAGTGAGAATCTGCTGCGATTTTACTAAAATCATGCTTTCATTATATAGTATTCAAACAAAGAACAAGTCAAAAAGTCATGTATCATTAGTTGGCACAGTATGAAAACTTCTTTTAGCAATGTTTAAAAAGTATGTTATCAGGAACAGGTGTTAGACACAAAGCGTCCTTAGAAGAGGAACTCTTGTCCTTGGGACTGTAAATCTTAGAAGAGGAACTCCTGTCCTTGGGACTGTAAGCCTCAGGCAAGTGGTTACATCTTATGAACAGAAAGTTTCTGTCTTATTATTGCTATCATGGCCCTTCCTCCTCTTAACCCTTTATTTCGTCTAGTGACCAAATATACCTAATCAGTTTTCTGCACCTGTTGAACTATATTTTTAGTACCTTCTTATGCGGCAGACATCATGGGGGTTGGGGTCTAGCAAGCCTATCCATAAAGTTGAAAGTATAATATAACAGTCTTTGTCCATCAACATTAACCCATCTATTCCCTTGCTCATCATAGGCTCCTGTATAAGGAAGTGAATCAAGGAGTGCGCTGGGGAATTTTCTCTAACTCTCCTTCTTTCTCTCTAAATCTGATTCACTATGACGATTCCCTCGTAACATATCAACTTTAGCCGTTTCTGTATCATAATTAATAAAGTTTCCCAGGCTCATGTGGCGTGGGGCATACTTTATTTCCTCAAGGACTGCTTTAATGAACGGTGGGGCCGAGCCAAGGACGTACTTTGATTTCTTGGTAAGCGGTCAGCTAAAAACAGAAAAGATTAGAAATACAGAGAAAGATCATGCAGGGTGCCAGGAGGGCTCGCTCCCAAGGCTATCTCCAGATATGAGATCTGCCTACGGCATCAGGTCCTATCTTGACCACTGATTGCCAGGGGGACCACCTGGGGCTTTGCTCCAGGAAGCTCTAACCCCAATCCTTCAGCAGGCAAAAGCCAGCGCAGAGGCATTTTGTCACTACACGGCAGTCACTGCTGTGGACGTGGCATATTAGCTCCATTCATCTCTGTTTCGTTTGCATAACTCATGCAGTATTGATGTGCTTATTTTTTCAGACAACTTGAGGGTGAAAGTGTATCTCTACTGTAGAATAAATGAAAATAAACTATTGCCCAGGAGAAAGGCATGTAGTACTTGAAGAGCTAAGAGGAACCTGGTTTTCCCAGGGTGTCTGGACTTTGGACTCTGTAGAATTAGCTGACTTTCTGTACTTCTAAACCATCAGAGACTCCTCTCAGCCAAGCCTCAACAGTTGTAAACACACCAGTGTAACCCACACCTCGGGGGGACCCACTGAAGTCTGAGGACCACTAGGGATCTGCATTTGGGGGAACTGGAATTTGTCCTTCAGTCTAGAGTCATGGTATGGTTACTTTTGACAAGTTTTATTTATTTTTAAGATTTGTTTATTTTTATTTTGTGTGTGTGTGTATGTGTGTGTGTGTGTTTTGCCTGAACATAGGTCTGTGCAGCATGTAGGTGTTTTAGTGTTCATGGAGGCCGGATTCCCTAGAACTGGAGTCCCAGGTAGTGGTGAGCTTACGGTGTGGGTGCTAGGAATAAGGTCTCCTTCAAGTGGAGCAAATGCTTCAAGCGCTGAGCCATCTCTTCCACCCTTTGTGAACTTCTAAAATCATGTTATTGACAATGCTTGGTCATCGCTTGATGGAGGTGGCTCTTGTATCTTATCTGTTGATTTCATTGGTTAATAATAAAGAAACTGCCTCGGCCCTCATAGGACAGAAAATTAGGTAGGTGGAGTAGACAGAGGAGAATGCTGGGAAAAAGAAGCTGAGTGAGTGAGTCGCCATGATGCTCCCACTCCAGACAGACGCAGGTTAAGATCCTCTCTGGTAAGCCAGCTCATGGGCTACACAGAATATTAGAAATGGGTTAGAACAATATGTAAGAGCTAGCCAATAAGAAACTGGGCCTAGCCGGGCCAGTCAGTGTTTGAAAGAATACAGTTTCCGTGTAATTATTTCTGGGTATAAACTAGCCATGCAGGCGGCCGGGTGCTGGGGACGCAGCCCTGCCGCTCATATTTCAACAATCGCTGGAGCTCTGTGCTTCTGGCTGAGTTTAGCTTTGTTTACCAATCTCCATTGGCATTGTTCTTTCTGGAATGAGGCTGCTACCGAGCAAAATGGGGAACCTTTCTACTGACTCAAAAATAATTGTTTCGGAGACATGCCTTTTCATTCAGTTATTTCCCCACAGGAAATCACGAGACTGGCCCATGCCAGAGGAAATCTGTAGCTCTAATTTCCTCGGGACGCACCTGAAGGAAAGAGGCAAGCGAGGCTGCCCTGGACGGCTGCTGTCTACTGTGAGCTGGGCGGGTAAAGTCTGCAGTGAGATTCCTGGGGATAAAGGTGGAGAAACTCGCCTGAAAAGAGTAACAGAACAGTCCTCAAATCCCAGAGAAGGAAACAGGGAAGGCTCGGGCTGGGGGTCAGAGGAGTCCGCCCTTTGCTTCTCTTCTGCTCTGGGGGGGGGGGGGCTGTGGAAGGCCAGATGACCTTGGCCATTTGTGGCCTCCTGAGGGCTAGTGAGGGAAATGAGTGCTAGGAACGTCTCTGTGCCAGGCACGAGCTGATTGGTTCTAGAGCAAATATAAATATGTACAATTCCACTTTATAGCCCTTATTTTCATATGTTTCTGTGTTCCTTTAATATGTTTTACACATGATATGAGGATATGGTTTTACGGTTCAAACACTTGCTCCAGAAGCATGAGGACGGCCTGTATCTCCATCCTCACAAGTCAGGACAGAGGATCTGTAGAACAAGCTGGCTAGTGATAGTAGCTGGAGCCAATGGCCTTTGAGTTTGGTTGAGAGACTCTGCCACAGTGACTAGGTAGAAGAGTAATTGAGGATGAGTCCAGACATAAACCCCGGGGCCTCCACACATGCCCTCACACGTGAAAACACACATACACTCACATGCATATCACACACGCATATGAAAATTGAAGCAGAAAAACTATTTTTCAAGTACTCAGTGAAGCAATGTTATCTGTGTTGTGGGGAAGAAAGGAATGGGTCTGTGCTCACAGCTGGAACAGAGTAGGTGTGGTTTTCTGTTCCACCTCTTCCCCCTGGAGTCAGGCAAGTAGGAGCTGTGTGAATACGTGGGCTGAGTGGAGAGCATCTCTCCTAGGCCTATCAATAGCTGAAATACAAGTGGGCTCTATTGCTGTTGTAAAATGCTTACCTTATAATAGTCTAGGAGGCGAAACTGGTGAAGGTGTGGGGTATTTGGATATATTTTGGATTGACTGTTAGTTTAACTATTTTTTAATTATTATTTATACAATATTCTGTCTGTGTGTATGTCTGCAGGCCAGAAGAGAACAGCAGACCTCATTACAGATGGTTGTGAGCCCCCATATGGTTCCTGGGAACTGAACTCAGGACCTTTGGAAGAGCAGGCAATGCTCTTAACCTCTGAGCCATCTCTCCAGCCCCGGTTGACTTAACTATGTCCTGAGTGTGTTCCTGAGAGCTAACCATATTGAAACACATATCCCATTGTGAGGCAATTATGTGGGGAGTGGGTGAAGTCTTGTTTTCTTATTTTTAAAGATTTATTTATTAATTATGTATACAGTATTGTCAGTATTTTGTCTGCATGTATGTCTGCAAGCCAGAAGAGGGCACCAGATCTTATTACAGATGGTTGTGAGCCACCATGTGGTTGCTGGGAATTGAACTCAGGACCTTTGGAAGAGCAAGCAGAGCTCTTAACCACTGAGCCATCTCTCCAGCCCCTGAAGTCTTGTTTTCGAGACAGAGTTCCTCTGTAGTTTTGAAGCCTGTCCTGGCACTAGCTCTGTAGACCAGGCTGGCCTCAAACTCACAGAGATCCGCCTGCCTCTGCCTTCTGAGTGCTGGGATTGAAGGCGTGCGCCACCACCGCCTGTCACAGTGAATGTATTATTGACACAAGCACAGTCATGTGAAGGAACCCAATGGCAAAGCCATTTCAGGTCAGGCTCAGAGAAATGGCAATGCCTTACTTTGGCCCAAGTACAGATGTTACAAATGATTGACCGTTAGCTAAAACCAGTGTATGCAAAAACTATGGAGCACTCCTTCCTTGCCCAGATGTTGGCAGTCTGAGACTTACCCCCTATTGAGAGGAGCTATATCAAGATGCACAAATAAATGGGGTGAAATTCTGGACTGTGTCTCCATAGAGCGCGTGCCTCACCTGATCCCAGCTTTTCTGTACACGTGTCTGTGTGTCTGTCCTTTCTTCACTCCTTTGTGGCTCCAGTCAGGTCACCTCTAAATGGTGGCCTTCTCAGCATAAGAAGAGGGTGGCAATTCAGCCCTGCATGGCGGCCTAGAGACGGAGCCCCTGAGGGGGGGTTAGGGTTAGTGCTGCTATCAGTTTCTATCTTTAAGGTCTCATTGACAAGCTTGGAAGGATGTGCTACCCATTAAGACGCAGAGCCAAATATTTGTACATTAAAACAGATGTTGTTCGGAGTTTCTTTGCCTATGGGCCAAAGGTGCAAATTTTTCTGTTTCCCAGCAAAATTCTACAGTATTTTCTGAAGGCTTTAAAAAATATTTTAGTATTCCAGAACTCTTACTAAGCTTTTAAATAGTCCTAATTGCATGCCAATGGGTTATTTGCTTTTTACAATTGCACTGTGGGAAACTCGAGTTGATTGGCAGAGTGTTACAGCTCTTCAAAAGCAATAAAAATATAAATGAAAATGGGCAGCCTAGGAGAGTGCATATACTAACTTCATGTGTGCGTATCTACATATCCACGTACACACATGCACACGTGTGTGTCGAGTATCAGCTTTGCCACCAAATGTTCATGTACCCTGTGTATGTATACAGATTCCTTTTGGCTGGTGGACTGTGGAGGCTACGGATACAAGCAGGTTCTTGTATGCACAGACACATTAATGAGCTAGAACAGATATTGGCAAACCATGCCTAGAGGGCCAGATGTGGCCACACTGTTGGCTCATGCGTTATCCATGTGCTTGAAGTTAGTTCCAAGACTGGTCTCACGTCTGACACTGCCTGCACGTTGGGGGTGATTCCCAAGGAATGAGGTGTGATTACTTGCTACATTTTATTGAATTTCCTGACAGCTATTATGTTCTGGTTACTATTTATAACAGGGACACGCGGCTCTAAATTAGCCGCAGGCAGAGGCAAATAGGATATTCTGGAAGGTTCTAACGATGAAGCCGTCAAGATCTTCTCCCATGGAGTATCTGACCGACTGACTCGCTGTGCTGGTCTGTGACCACACCCATGGGCATTCCTACCCAGGGATATCATTTGAGTTTTGACATCTGTAGTTTTACAGTGGAGCGTCATTCTGTAGGCCCGATTTAGCAGCTGATTGACTGCCTGACTCAGTCCCTGAGTCAGCTGATACCACGTGACGCAGTTCTGCCGCATCAGCTAAACTGCAGACTTGATCTTTTGGGCTTGGTCAGCTCACACCTTAAAGAGTCCTGAAAGTCATAACTTTCGGGATTGCCATTCAAAAGTGTTTTGAATCCATTGATCAAAAAAAAAAATACAAATTTTAAAGGATAATTAATACCAGGAACATAGTAATGTTGATTCCTACACTTATCATGAGGAGATGATTCTAGTGTCTGAAAATACCATGTGTACAAATTGTACAAAGTCTCCTGGGATTGAAACTATACCCTTTAATTTTTTTTTTTTTTTGCTTTTTCTTTTTATTAAGTTTTGCTTAGCAAAAGGGTAACTAACAAGCACACCCTTCTCCAATTTCTTTTTTGTTTGTTTTTGTTTCTTTTGAGACAGGCTCTTACTCCGTGGCCCTGGTTGGCCTCGAATTTGCCTCCTGCCTCTGCCTCCTAGTACTCAGATTACAGAAGTGTGCCACCATATCCAACTTTAACATACCTCTTTCATACTATATGGGAGGGGAGGCACGGTTTATGGGCTAAGGCAGAAACTTACTTGAACCAGAGCTAGAACAGCGGTTTATTCTAGATTTTTCAACGCAAAGCCTGATAAGAACTCTCTCTCTCTCTCTCTCTCTCTCTCTCTCTCTCTCTCTCTCTCTCTCTCCCTCTCTCTCTCCTTCCCTTCTTCTCTTCCCCCTCCTCCCCCCTCCAAAGCCTCCTATGTTATGAAGTTTTGAAAGTTAAAGCTGGGCATGATGACTCAGGAGGACTGTTACAAGTTTGAGGCCTAAACTATAGAGTGAGTCCCAGGCCATCCTGGGCTACAGAATGACTACCTGTCTCAAATCTCTCTCTGTCTCTGTCTCTCTCTGTCTCTCTCCGTCTCTCTCTGTCTCTGTCTCTCTCTCTCTCTCTCTCTCTGTCTCTGTCTCTCTGTCTCTGTCTCTCTGTCTCTCTCTCTCTCACACACAGTAATTTAGGATAAACTTATGTAGGAAAATGAAAATCAAAGAAGAAAAAAAATCATTTGTCTTATATACCTTTTTTGGTTTTTGGGGTTTTGTTTGTTTGTTTTTGTTTTTTGAGACAGGGTTTCTCTGTAGCTTTGGAGCCTGTCCTGGAACCAGCTGTAGACCAGGCTGGCTTTGAGCTCACAGAGATCTGCCTGCCTCTGCCTCTATACCTTTTTTTCTAATTTAAAAATGTAAAATTTTATTTTTATTATTTTGGGGTGTGTGTGTGTGTGTGTGTGTGTGCATGCTTCACACACACACATCCACTTAAGTGCAGGTGTCCTTGGAGGCCATCATATCTGGAGCTGAAGTTGTAGGTGTTTGTGAGCTGCCTAGTGTGGGGACTGGGAACTGAACTTGGATCCTCTGGAAGAGCAGTCAGTATAATTGCTATGCCATCTCTCCAATTCCTATTTTAGGCTTTTAAAATCAACCTTTATTTCTGTTCTTTATGCTATATAGATCACCTATCTTTTCCCCTTCAGTATTATACATTTTCCATGTTATTCTAAGTCCTAAAATATTATTAAAATTATTGTTGGTTTAATCATTTGGTTGTATGTAGTTTTCTGTATTTTTCCTCAAAAAAAATATTCTGGCTTATTGGAGTAATACTCCAGACTGTTAGTCTGATATTTCTCAATTAATGAAACTGAAAGAAAGCATGCTACAGGGCCATTCGTCTAATTGCTGTCTGTTGATTTTATTGTAAAACATCTGCAGTTCATTACGTAGGAATGGAATTTAATATTCAAGTCAAATAACTTTATAATTGCCTCTACCTTGACAAACACAAAGCAATATTCAATCCTGTCTTATTTGTGTGCGGGTCTAAACTAGTGTCTATCTGTTTATCTAGACGGGGTCTCCTTACATTGCCCAGGCTGACTTTGGGCTGCCAGGCTCCAGAAAAGCTCTTGAAGCCTCTTCTAGGAGCGTCACCACACCAGGCTTCATTTGCATGCTTAGTGGAGTGAAGTTTCCAGAAGCCAGCGCGGTTTTTCACGAGAGCAGGTGAAAGCAGCAGGTTTGGCGAGTAACCAGCAGTCACATGGTAGAGGACAGAGAGCCTCTTGCTTGCTGATGACCATAGAGTGTAAAGTGTGGTTTTCTTCTCAGCTCTGCTTCTCGGCTGGTAGCCTGGATGCCCATCTTCTCAGGGGTTGAGGCTCATCTTTGCTGGTTGCCCGATGATCCCCCTTCTCTTACCTACCATGGTCCCCTCAGGCGCAGCCGTACCCCTTCTACTCTTCCAAGAGTGTCAGAGTTAGCTGTTTAAAAGGAAGGATCTCTCCCAGTGCCCTCGTGACCACAGCTCTTTCTTTAGCTAACTTCCTCTCTGTTGCAGCTTTTCTCTCCCTGGGAATTTGGCTTGTGGTTTTGAGGGCCTGACCGGAAGCCAGCTAGAAGTGGATCACAGGTCTCTTAAGAGCTGTCCTCCCTCTTGGACCTCAATGCAGTGCACAAGGGCCAGCCTGAGCTTTCTGTCCCCTCCCCCTGCTTTTGACGGAACTCTTTCTATCAGCCAAGTCGTCCATGAGGCTGTCTGTGCCTCTCACTGTCCCTCCCATGATGCTGTTCGGCTCTCCTACGGTAGTGCTCTGAGGAACCTCTATATGGGCTACTCTGACATATTTAAAGCTGTCTGAGCTCTCAACTTAAGCTGATGTTCTGAGACTAGAAATTTATGAACAGAATTATTTTTTGTGTTAACTTCCATTTTAAAGTCTCACTTCAGCCGGGCGGTGGTGGTGCACGCCTTTAATCCCAGCACTCTGGAGGCAGAGGCAGGCGAATCCCTGTGAGTTCGAGGCCAGCCTGGTCAACAAGAGCTAGTTCCAGGACAGGCTCCAAAGCTACAGAGAAACCCTGTCTCGAAAAACAAAAAAACAAAAAATAATAAACAAACAAACAAACAAATAAATAAATAAAAAGGAATAAACCCTTTCCAAAGTTGCGTTTGGTCATGACTGAGGGCAATAGAGGAACATATCCAAAGTCGGTCCCTAGACAGACAGACAGACCCACAGAAACATACCCAAAGTCAGTCCCTGTTGAAATAAGAGCGGCGGGGCTGTGTCCCCAACACCCCGGCCGCTTGGCTAGCTTATGCCCCAAATAACAACACAAACTGTAGTCATTTAAGAACTGCTTGGCCCATGAACTCTAGCTTCTTATTGGCTAGCTCTTACATATTGTTTTAACCCATTTCTAATAATGTGTGTAAGCACCCCAAGGTGCGCTTACCGAGAAGATTCTAGCCTAAGTCCATCGTGGGTTGGAGCTGCCTGGGAGAGCAGAGCATGGCGTCTCTGCTCCAGAGAGCAGAGCTGTCCGGTCCCTCTGGAAGCAGAGCAGAGTCTGACCTCACTTTCTCTTCCGCCCAGAATTCTATTCTGTTTACTCCTCCCATCTATGTTCTAAGCTATGAGGCCAAGCAGTTGGTTTATTATAATTAACCAATGACCTTCCTCCATCAA